GTTTGCTCTCATCTCTTATCTCTTTCAATCTATATACACACACACACACACACACACACACACACACACACACACACACACACACACACACACATATATATATATATTGATAATATTAGTGGTAAATATACACATACATATGCAATCATATATCTAAAATATATAAATATATATTCATACATGCATATACATATATATTTGTATAAAAATAAATCCAAGAGGATAGAAGAATCCAGGTAGAACTCAATGTCCAGGACAGAGAAGTAAGGATATATATATATATATATATATATATATATATATATATATATATATATAATATAAATTTAAACACTAAATTAGTGTTTAAGCCTTTTTATTATATATATATATATATATATATATATATATATATATATTATATTGTCAACTTTATTTTAGTGGATACCCATATTTGAGTAGACGCCAATTTATTTTAAACAGTATAAGTATTTTCGTATGCCGGCCTAAATATTCGAGAGATATTATTAAATTAAAATATGCGCACTTCAGATTCGTTTGCAGGCGACGTTCTTCGTAGCAGTGTTGGTTAAAAGCACATCGGATATAACGACAGCTTCTTCTGCAAAAGAGGGATGCTGGTTCGAATTCTGTCGTAGTCAGCACAAGGAACAGCCCAAAATTCAAAATGGAGATATCGAAATCGAACAGATGCAACAATTTCGATATCAGGTAAAGGTTATTAAGGGAGGACGGAAAGTTCGACAAGGAAATCTGAAAGCGCCCTGGGATAACGAAAAATGCCTTCTGTCGTGGCCTGTTAGGGGCCCAGAAAGAAAGATACGGGAAGAAAAAGGTAGGTTGAAAGAAGTGTATTGAAATAACAGATATATACAACGTAAGAGTGTGATTAGTCAGCAGATAGAAGTGTCCGTCCAAACTGTCAGGTTACACTGCGTCTTGACCGTCTCCTGTAGGAAGTGTCGCAGGTTGGTATTTATGAAAGGAGGAAGAGTTCATTCTCATGTAGGTAGGTCACCATAACACCTTTCAGAAGAAACAGAACAATATTAAAAAAAAAAGACAGAAAAATTAACAAACGAGACATAGAAGAGAAGAGAATCACTTTTATTTTCAATGACTGTTTCCAGCAGAAAACCAAAATTTTAGATTCCACATTTAAAAAATCCTTAAGTTTTTCTCCCAAGATGCTGGTATTCCACATTTAAAGAGTTCTCCAGTTTCTTCCCAAAATGTTTGAAAGACTGTTCTTGTGTTAGAAAGAAATTAAAATATGTCGGCATTAAATCTGATGCCTTGGAAGGATGTGGAAAAACCTCCCATATTATTTTTCTTGGGTTTGTTTGAATGTACCATTGCGTTGTCATACGGGAGAATAACCCTTTTATATTGACCAAAACATCCTTTATACCAATCGAAATGCTAGTAACAAACTATTGCAATGATAGCCCTTCCAAGAATATGAAAAAAATTCTGTTTTATTTAAAAAAATATTAGTGTCATGGGAAAGTAATTACATTTTACTAGAAAGGTCATATATATATATATAATTGAATGTAGTAGCGATTTTCCAATTGTAGCTTAGATGTGGCACAAGGCCGAAAATAAGGGCACCCAGTGAGGATCGAACTCACTACACAGTCGTAACTGTTTTAGTGAGACAAGCTTGCTAATCAATACACCGCCTCGAGATGCCCAACTGTTTTATATATATGCGTGAAAGTTCTCAGAATAGATCTGTAGAGAAGAAAAATTGGATAAAATAGACAATAGGAAAAATAGTTCTTAGTCCTTTCCGACGAGTTTCCTCATGCGACATTATTAAGGCAAATGATAATAAATAAAAAAGAAATGAAAAAAGTTACTAATATCCAAAAAGAGTCATCCGCATGAGCGTCTTTTAAACATTTTTGAATTTCGTGTAAGTACGCAATAATTCGCTTTTTTATCATCACTTGCCTTGATAAAAACGGCTAGGACAAAATACTATTTTCCGATTGTCATACATATATATATATATATATATATAAAATGTAGATAGATACATACATACATACATACATACATACATATATACATATATATATATATACATATATATATATATATATATATATATATACATACATATATATGCATACAAATATATATATATATATGCATATATATATACATACCTATATATATATATATATATATATATATATATATATATTATACATATATATATATACATACATGTACATATATACATGCATATATATATATATTAATATATATATATATATATATACATATACATATATATTTATATATACATACATTTACATATATATATGATATATAATATATATATATATATATACATGCATTATATATATACACATATATATATATATATATACATATATATATATATACATACATTGATATATATATATATATATTATACATGCATATATATATATATATATATATATATATATATATATCATAAATATACACACATACACATATATATATATATATATATAAAAATTTCATCAAAGTAATAATAAGATTTTACTTTCTTAAAAAAAAAATAATAAAATAATATTAATAATAATAATAAAATTAAAAACAGATGCATAATACTACCAACCAACTCCGTCACGTCCTCTATCCAGAACAACCTTTTGATTCTAAATAATCTTAAAATAGTCATAAACAATTACAAAACCATTATAGATATACTCAAATCCTCAAACACTAACAGTAATTTGTCCCTGAAGCATTTTTTATAAAATAAATTGACAAAATTGTTTCTCCCAATATATTGGAGAAACCAGCAGAAATTAAAAAAAAACCGCATCTATGAGCACAAAAGAGACCGCGCAAAAAAACAATTTAATTAATGCACTAATCATACATAAAAAATAAATTCAAATCACAATTTTGATTTTAAAAAATGCTAAACTATAAAAAAATAAAATAACTATTCAGAAGAAAAATCCTCAAGAGTGCCGCCATTGAATATTATCCAAATATTAATATACGCCCAGATTTTTCCCTTATTTCACCTTTCCTAATAGAATTACTATTTCCCAAGCAAACGTACAAACTGTATCAAGAAATGAAAAGAAATGGTTGAATCCGTCAACAAGATTTTAACAATAAAAAAATATTTCCACATTTTGTGACAGTAATTGACGTAATTTTCAGTTGACAATATGTTATACAATAGCGTTTTCTAAATTCGTCCAGTTGCTAAGGACATTTTGTTTTGTTGTCAAGAGTTACTTTGTTTTAATAATTTAATTTCATTTCGTTTTTGCCTTGAAAAGCTCACACTGGACGAAACGCGTCAGAATATTAAAGTTTTCCTATTGTCCAACAACCTTTATATATATATATATATATATATATATATATATATATATATATATATATATATATTATAAAAATATTAAGTTATCTGGCAAATATTTATTTTTATAGAAAATAATGAAAGCAAAATGATTATATTTTTATGAAATATAATTAGACAAATGCATTTGAAACATCATCTTGATTTGCACTGTTTCAGATCAAAGGATTGAAACTAACAAAAAGGATCCTATATGATAAAAACAAGAGACATATTGGATTTAATCTAAATTTATGCAGATATCATAAAATATAAAGAAAACCTGTTTTTATTAATGATTACTAAAAAATCAATAGATTTATTATATAACAACCAGATATCTTTTTAAAAAAAATATGATTTGTATTTATCAAAATAAAAGATTTAACAATTGAAAAAAGAATTTTGATATTATTTTTATTAATCAATTTTAAAAATTAACGTAAAAATCTTTTTATTTTTTCCATGAAAACTGGTAAATTATGATACAAATTATTTTAAAATCCAAATTAACATTTTGTTTCAATCTGAAATTGTTTTAAATTTTGGGAATTAAATTAAAATTGTTATGAATTTTCTAACAATTCTGATATTATCATAAAAGATTATAAAACATCCGATTTTATCTGTTTTCCTGAACGTTAAAGTACTTGATCTAAAAAAAACTTTTGAAAAATAGCATAAATATAAAAATTAATAAAATACAATATTTTTTATTTATTCTGAATCGAGATACCATAACATCCAAATATTTTTTTTCTTGAAAAATGAAGAATGAGACAAATGTACCAATTTTAAAATTGAAAATTTAAATTTTGGGCCTCGTGAAATATGTATTATTACAAAATACAATTTTAATACAATTTAAAAATTTTGTAATGAAACACTTAACATTCAAATAAATATAACTTTCCCATTAAGATTTCAAAAATATTAATGATTATACCCAAGAACATTATGTTTATAATACATATCAAATATTTAAAAAAATTTATGAATTTTTTGAATAAAAAGGAAATTGTTAAAATGACAATTTTTTCTTTATAACCTTCAAATACATTTTTACCATGGAAATTTGAAATTGAAAACAAGAATACCAGGGTAAAAATTTTTGGATAAACATAGCAACAATTTGATAATAAAATAAAAAATTGTTAATAATAAATTTTAATAATTTATATCTATATAAACTTGTTTTTAAAATTAAAAAAAAAAAAAAATGTCATTTCTAAAAATTATCTTTTTAAATTAAGTTGTCTTAGAAAATTAACTGGAACGATCTATTTAAATATACAATAATAATAATCAAATTAAAAAAAATGTTAATAATGTTAATTAAAAATGTGTCATTTAAAAATCTAACAAAGTATTTAATAAAATAAAAATAATTTTAATATTTTTTTCATTAATAATTTAAAATATTTATTATTTAAATTATTTTTCATTTATAATTTATCGGTGATTGAACATATTAGTTCACAATATTATGGATTTTAAATCTTATCGTCATTTAAATTAAAATGAAAAAGCTTAGGCGATCGATTCTTTTGATACATGACTGACGAGGTAGATTTTTTTTATGCCATTTTTTTTTCAAATATATATTTGCATATTT